TCCTTTCTTTAATGGTGCCTGCACTGTTGGAGTATTCTAGTGTTGGGGTAGGGTGTTTGCATATAATCATGCACAACCTTTTATTATTATTTCAAGTGGGAATATATTTTGATTTCTAAATGCCCCGCTATAAAGATCCAAATCCTCAAATGTGTGTACATGTGTGTATGTGTGTGTGTGCGCGTGTAACTCAACAATAAAGCTTTTAAAAGACACTGGTTCCTGGTGCAAGGCACATTTAAAGCAAGTTTTACTTTACATTGTACTTCCTTTGTATATTAAAAACATTTATTTAACTTGTTGCAGTTTGAAGTTTAAAAAAAAAAGATTTTCATTGTGTATGCTCAACAATAATCATTAAAATGTTTGCAGCGTACAATACAGCCTTTTGTTAGTATTTTACTAGGTCTTCCAGTGCATTTAATTCTTTATTATATTAGGTTAGATGAAAAATACTTGCATTATTCAATCCATTCAAAAACTGTTACACTATTGTGTTGTTCCTATATTGTTTTGGTCAGTATGGCTGACGCAAGTTGGTTAATACTTTGATGGAATTATTTTTCTGTATAAAGTGACCCTTAACTTAGATGATCAAAGAATGTGTATGCATTTTCATTACAACAAGTGCTTCGGAACTAAGAAGGCCAAAATATAAATAAGGAACTCATCTCAGCCACTTGACAGCTCTTGTCCTTTTCTTAACTTTTTGAAATTTGACCAGAATAATACACAGTATTTTAGTTTGGCTGTACAACATGTTTGTATTATAGCAGTGGCACATTCGTTTTCCATTTTCTTCCTAACTGCCCCCCAACAAAAAATGTTTCCTTTTTTCACAATTATAGGCTGAGTCAACAGATCAAGCTGTCCATCTTTTCTTGTCAGTCACTGCAACATGTATCTTCTCAACATTTTTTTAAAGTTAGTTTTTGTCCCCGAACAGATCCTTATACAGAATTACACCTGCCATTTTAATGTTTATTCTGGAGTTTGGAAAGATCCTTTTAAGAGTTTTTTGCTGTCCTGTTTTATATTAAGCAGACAAACAAAAAAGTAGTGGTCCCATTGAAGACCCTTGGAGAGCCCCTTGGTTAAGTTCTTCCACTGTAAGAATTACCTGTCTACTTTCTATTAACACCAGAGACATCTTCCTGGGCCCTAGAATGTGTTTGAAAGCGGCAGAGTCACATAGCTTTCTAGTGTTTTTGACTAATTATATTCACTTAACTGACAGAAGAAAGTTCAGCCAAACATCAGAAGAGTCAAGTAGTTTCTTTTCCCCAGCTAATTGTTTTGCATCCTTTATCAGGTAGCTCCCTTCCTCTCTAAGTAAGCATAGCATAGCAAAACTTTTTGCACTTAATCCATTTTTCTCTCTAGATTTGCATTGGTTCTCAAAAACATTGTAAGGAGGCAAATGTTAGGGGTAGGTGAGTTCTAGCCACCCATGCTGTCTGTCTGACTGGGCTAATCAATTTCTCTCAGCCCTAGACTGGGAAATGGAAAAATATATATCTTACAACCTGCACTGGTGGACCAGCATGATAGATTATAGTCCATAATCTTCAATGAAGGGGCCTTCAATGATTTGGACTGCTGCTGATTATATATTTTATCTATGCAGGGTTACTGTCTTGGACAATGCTGGACATGAGTGCCTATATGTTCAGCTGGGCCATAGGGACAAGTTAAGGGTCAGTTTAGTTTACTGGCTGCCCTATTCCTTAGGATCCCTCCCTGGCTCCTAAGCCCAATGGTGAAAACTACCAGGTTCTAGGAGAGTTCAGGAATACACAGTTTCCATGACAACCATGGCTTTGTCCTAGGTCATCTTGGCTCTGACATATGTGAGCAGTCATATGTTAGATCTGGTATTTGCTTTCAAGCAGTGATCTAGATGTGGAGGGCATTACCACCTGCCCCTTGTGGTGAGATCTCTTCCTAGTCCGGTTGTGATTGACTGCTGTTCCCTCCCTCTGTAGGACTTGACCCATTCAAATGGCCTTCCCTTGGAGCCTTATGGGTCCTGTCAATTTTTGGAAGATGCTGGGGGATCCCCCCAAAATCTGGTGGATGAATCAGCTGAGGACCTGGTTCACAGCTGGCAAAAAGCATCTCAGGCTCTTGATCTGTTTGCCCCCAAGTGGCCTCCCTCTGTCAGCTGTTCCAACATGGCACCTTGTTTTTTCAAGGCCTATGAGAGATGAAGTGTCAGAAGGGGACCTAGAGCTTAGGTGGAAGATGATGAAGACTTAATTTGACCAACTGTGGATAAGTTGGGCCTACTCAGTGGTTATAAGAGAAGCAAAGTATTTCTACTACTCTTATTCAGCAGTCCTCTTCCAGGACTGCCCAAGAGGTCACTGCATTTCTATCAGGCTGCTGTAACCAACTTCCTCAACATTTTGCCCTTAAAGTTGATCAAATTCACTCTCACCTTGATTTTACTTGGGCAGGGTCTTGTGTGGTGACTGGGGAATTGTGTTGCTCTGTTAAACTGGTTTCTTTTATCTCTTGTTATCTCAGGAATTAGATAGGGTGCTCTCTAGAATGTTCTCATTCAGCTGTGGGCTGGATCCTTGCCCCTCCTGGCTTCTTTGGTTAGTTGATTGGGGTGTTGTACCATGGATCCAGGTTGTAAATGCCTCCTTGTGTGAGGCCTTATACCTTCAGCACTGAAAGAAACATTGGTTCATCCCTCCTGAAGACGACTTTTCTGGATCCAGAGGTTTTGGACAACTACAACACAGACTCCAACTTTGCCTCTTTGACAAAGGTGGTGAAGACAGTGGTTCAGGACCAAATACAGGGTATGTTAGAGGAAGTGGATTATGTCATCAGGATTCAGCCCTGGGTTTAGAACAGAGACATTGATCACTTTGGTCAGTGACCTATGGTGAGGCCTGGCTGGGGGTAGTGTACATGTCCTGGTCTTTTTGGACCTCTCAGTGGCTTTCCTGATGTACTAGCTGCAGGGGTTGAAGATTGGGGGCACATTTTTACAGTGGTTCCATTCTTTCCTCAGAGGCCAGTTCCAGTCAATGGTGATCAGGGAGGAGAGGTAGGCACCTTGGCTGCTCCCTTGCAGGGTGCAGAAGGGATCAGGTCTCTCCCGTTACTTAATATCTATATGAAGCCACCGGGAGAGGTCATCTGGCAGTTCAGGATTACCAGTATGCTGACTGAGCTGTACATTACAACCCCAAACCCCACTGGAGCTGCTGTCAATATCTTGTCCCAGTGCCTGGAGGCTGTTAGGATCTGGTTGGGAGAAAACGGGCTTGTACTGAGTGCTAGTAAAACAGAGCTATTGTTTGTATGTTGAGGTCCCTCTATGTCCCCAGTTTTATCTCTGGACTGGGTTGCACTGCCCCTGAAGGAGGACACCCAAGGAGAGGTCCTCAACTTGGGTGTCCTCCTGGCCTCATGGCTCCTGCTGGATCAGCAGGTAAAAGCTATGGCCAGAGGGGCCTTTCCCTAGCAGCTAGTGCACCAGTTGTGACTTGACTTAGAGCAGGAGGACTTAGAGCAGGAGGACTCGACTATGGTGGCTTATGCTCTCATCATCATTGCACACAGAGTACCGCAAGATGCTCTACATAGGGGTGCCTTTAAAGACCACCTAGAAGCTTTAGTTGGTGGTCACATATTATACCTATTTTGCAGGCAATGTACAGTCCTAGTTTTAAACTATAAAGCCCTTTATGGCTTGGTGCTGGGTTACCTTCAGGACCTCATCTCTCCATTGAATTGGCCCAACCACTTTGATCATGCCAGGAGAAGCAGATGGTTGTCCCCCATTTCTGGGAGGTCTGACTTTGGGCCAGTCTCTGGAGTGGCCTCCTGCAGGAAGTATGTTTGGCCCCAACTCTAGTCACATTCCAGAAGCTCTTGAAAACAGCATTTTTGGAGGGTGTTTGAGGGCTGATGCCAGATGCTATTTGGAATATAGGTTTTCGTTGTTTTTTTTATCATAGGATTTTGTATTTTTAATTTTTACTGTCATTTATTTTTTCATGTTGTGAGTCACCAAGAATCTGCATTTGATTGTGGCAAGATGTGTGACAAATAAATACACACATACATATGCATATGTAAAGATTAATTTGTTTAATTCCTCAAGCAGATTACAAACTTCACAAAATATTTGGCATGGTAGTAAAAAATGTGATCTTTCAGCCTGAAAAGAATTATTCACAATTTGGCAAAAACTAAAAAACTAAAAAATGAATTGTCCTTTGCATTTGAAGAATATTTTTTGAATATGTACAGTATTATCTTCTGGCTTGTCTCTTCTACGTTTCTGCCATTTTATCAAGAACCAGAAGAGGTGCAAGAATTCTGGTTTTATTAGTTTCCGCAATGCAACCATTTAGAACCATTTCATCCAAAATGATGTGCACTCTGTCTAATTTGAACATGATCTGTATACATTCATCAAGTTAAGGTTTTGTGTTACTGTTAAGCAAGTAGTATGAACTAAATTACAAAATACCATATTTCATTAGTGCATTCACTTCATGTTTGGGCAACATAATTTAACTTTCTAATCAGATATTTCAGTAACTAAGCCAAATTTATGACACCATGATTTATATTTCAAATCAGAATATGCAATTATAAGCAAGTACATGAATGAAAAGAGACCAAGAGACATGAAATAGTAGAAGTAGATGTTAGTAATGTCAATTGCTACTTCAGACTTAGACTCAGAACTACTTGTATTCGTTTTACAAAGTCTATTGCAAAAGTCTCAATATAAAATAACATTTTAAATGTTTAAATTACCCCAGCATTTACTTAGTGTCACATCCATTCAGAACATTTGAATGAAATTTTTAAACAAAAATTTCTCTGTATATTCTTTTTATAATAATAGTAGTGAGCTGGCCACAGTAGTGTTCAGAAAAATAATGTCCTCTTGTTCCCATTTCTTTTTCTTTCAAACTGATATTCTTTTTTAAAAAATATTCAGTATGCATTATAATATTCAGTCTCAAGGATCTGCATAACCTAATAAGAAATCAAGTGACAACAGCTTCCTCTTTGGCTCTTGTAACTACTTAATTTATTATCATTGTGCTTCAACTTTAACCATATTTTATCAAGGAAGATGATGAGTTGTGTGATGTTAGATCAGCTAGCTTCTACAATAGAAGAATGTAGATCATGTAGATGTTAGATCAGTCTTCTACAATAATCACTATGTTACAAACTTACAGGAATTTTATTCTGAATTAATTCTTGTGGCTTTTCCCTGACAATCCTGAGAAATTGTAATTTGAAAGAAGTACTAAAAATTCTTTAATGGAGATATTTGGCCCCTAACCTTCTCAGAACATCAGCTTCCAAGGCTTTCTCTCTTGGGAGAAGAATGAAGAAATTTGATTGCAGGTATAAATGAGTCAGTATTGAAAATATTGTCTTAATATTATGTACTTAACTATGCATGCGTCCCACTAACAGTCAAACGTTCTTGTCTTTCAAGCAAGTCTTGAGCTGTATTATGAAAACAATACAATTGCTTGACAAGCAGGACTTTTGTATCTCTATTTAGAACTAGTAAATGTGTTTGTTTAATTAATTGTGTGGGCATGAAAATGCTGTTTCTCATAAAAATCTAATTATACAGAGATAATTCAAGTATTTCAATACAGCTAATTCAGCTGTCACAAATCTAATAAATGCTGCCATTTCCTTTGGAAAAAAAATAACTAGGAGGATCATTTGATATGTCTCTGAAACCAAATTAAAGCTTCAGGATTTGATATGATATATATTCCCTTTTACAGTTCAGAGTTTGGAAAAGCATCTGAAGTGGTAGCTGGAAGCTGATATGACAGGAAGTCCTAAGAGGTTTCCTCATCATACCACCATGATGTGAGCTAACCACACCCTGCTAAGCAGCATTCCACAACTTCATTCCATCAGAAAGTATTTCATCTGCTCTTGAGAACCAAGTGACTGTAACTCATAAACAAGTGATTGTAACTCCCTTTCCATTCAGTCAATCCTCTTTTACCCATCTTGTTCTAGGCAAATGCCTAGAATGACAAACTGGCTTTTTTAGGTGCAGTGCACATCTTCCTTGAAAAGATATGTGTTTAAAAGAGATTATTATTTTGCCCCAACTTTACGTTAACAATGAAATTAAAATTATACACAGCATTTTTCCAGCAAAATTGATCAGAGAGACTGGCATCAGTTCCATCATAGACATGTATTTAATGGATAGGTACTGGCTCCAATAGTAACACGTACTACTTTATATGTTTGTTAAGAACTGAAATAGATTACTATTCTTCCCTATTATAGATGGGACTCGGTATGATGAACACAAATCATTGCCATGAGTGTATGGTTGATCTAAAATTGGGCTCAGGTCTGTATCTAAATGCTATGATACACTGGACTGCAATGATTCTGAAAGGAACCAGGTTAAGAACTTTTTCAACTATGATTTGTCTATATACCAATTTAATACTTCTGATTTTGTGTACCTTGATTTTCTTGTATATCCGTACAATCAAACAAGTCTCCTTCTGTCAGTGTAACAGTTGATGCAGTCACAAGCATAGTTATTTCAGTCATGAAAGGATGGTTATTCCAGTAGCAGACATCACTGAAATGTCTGCATTTGAACAAAACGTATTAGACATGATGAGGATATGTCAGTTTGGGGTAGCAAAGCTTGGTTTTGGGGGTGATTATTTTGTGTATCTGTTTCCACTATCTATCTATTTTTAACTCTCTAACCCAATTCTTCCCCTCAAAACAGCAATGCTCTTAAATGCTTTAATGCAATGTGCAGTGATACATTTACTGCATGTAAACAGTGTATATTTACTCAGAATCAGATTCCACCTGATCCCATCATGTCCAGCAGGAGAAGCCTAGGAGATGAGTTTTTTCTGTTGCAGCACCCACCTCATCATCCTCCCTGAGGTGAAGTTATTCCCAACCCTTATGGCCTTCCAGAAAGCTCTCAAAACATGATTTTTTCATCAGGCCTGGGGATCCTCTGACAGCAGGGAGCCTGCATTGTGGCGGGCACACAAATGACATTCTGATTTTGACCCTTGCAATCTTGGTTCTAATAATTAATTTAATTGCTTTAATTGGTTTTATAATATATATAAATCATTGGTTATGCTGCCCAGAGCCACCTTGTGTGAGATGGGCAGCCATATAAATTTGAATGAATGAATGAATGAATGAATGAATGAATGAATGAATGAATGAATGAATGAGAACAACTTTTAACACTGGGATAGTCAGCTTGTTAAACTGACCACTTTCTAAAGAGTAACGTAGGGCAAGAGTGTAGGATGGGTCTACTTGGGTTTTTCCTGAAAGAACTCCTAGATCTATCAACTGAACTTGCATGCAAAGAAAAAAAAGAAAGGCATACTGTTTCTATGCATGCTCCACTTCTATTATCCCAAGTTCCTTTAATATCAGCACTGGAATTTATGGGCACGGTTTATCATTTTGCTGATGTTGAGAAAACAGCAGTCACACTTAGAAGCCTTCCAAAATGTATGATAAATCACCTGGAGATTTATGTCTATATCCAGATTTATCTTCCTTCTATCCCTGGTTTAAGCGGCTATTTTAGAGTGTGAGAACTAGTCATCCTGCGAATAGTTATTTTATTATGCTCCTTCAGATTTAAAATAATGAAAAAATAGTAGAAATAACAAGGTTAAACACAACAAATGCAGTTCCTCAAAATGCAGCACAAGAAGGGTTTTAAACAACTGGGTCAGTTGGAAAATATATCAGCACAGCAGGATATTAGATATTAAAGTTATAGTAGAAAAGAAACCTTTCCTGCTCTTCTAAAACTCAAGGAAGGGAGACAAATCCCTTTTAGGGGCAAGTTCATAACTGGTATAAGTTTCCAAAGGCTCCAAGTGCTGGAAAAAGTACTCTTTCAAAGGAATAAGAAAAGGTATCACGCACATTCAGATTAAACTTGTGTATGTTGTCTTCTCCCAGATTTATTTACTCACAAGCTGATATTTAGTCGTTGGGTTCTTGGTATTGTCTAGCTTGGTTGTTTTCCTGCCGATGTTTTATTACCAAGCTAGGTAACATCATCACTGTAGCACTTCTCATTTTTCACACTCCCATGCACTGATTATGCTACCCAGCCTAGTAACAAAACGTCTGCAGGAAAACAACCAAGAACCTGGCAGTTCAACCCTGAGCTACATATATAGTATTCTCTAGTGAGAATTATGTTCTCTAGCTCTCTGTTGAGATCTAGATACTAGGCACTACTCTGAGTCCCCCAATCCTCCACAATGAGAGTCTAGTGTCACCCAAAGAAAGCCTTCTCAGTGGCAATGCCCTGCCTGTCAATATGCTTCCAAGGAGGTTCACATGACATTCACTTTGCTGTCATTTTGGTGCCAGGCAACCTCCTTCCTATTTTCCTAGTTTTATTTTAATATTGCTCACTTTTAAAGCTTAAGAGTTTTCTAAATTGATGAGAGCCTTAATTCATTGGAGTTTATACAGGAGTATGCTGTTTTCTATTAGTGTCTGAGATTTTTTTTTATGATTTGTACTGCAGACGTTTTTATATATCACCCCAAAATGCTGGTTTGGCATTTGTAGATTTCAAATTAATTCCTAAAATAAAGTTCACGCTCAGATGATTAAAAAGAAGGGATACAAGGGCTAGATTTGACCTTTAAAGCCCTTCGTGGCATGGGGCTGGGTTATCTGAGAGACCACCTCTCCTCGGTCAATCAGCCCATCCCATTAGATCTGGCAGGGAAGGTATGCTATGCATTCCAACAGCCAGGGACTTGCATTTGGTGGGTCCCAGGAGGTGGGCCTTCTCTGTCGTGGCTCCCCCCTTGTGGAACATTCTCCCCTCTGAAGTTAGGCTCATCCCTCCCCTGCTGTCATTTAGGAAGTCCATCAAGACATGGTTATGTTATCAGGCCTGGGGGTCTTTGGGAACCAGAGACAGATGGCTCCACTCTGATTGATATTCTGCTCTCTCCGTGAGGTTTGCATATTTTAAAGTTTAAAAATTTAAAACTTTTTGATAATGTTGCATTTTTAATAACCACCTTCTAATCTTTTATAATGCTTGTTTTATCTATTTGTTATTTTATTCAACTGCTGTACGCTGCCCAGAGTCGCTTTGTGTGAGATGGGTGGCTATATAAATGTGATACACACGCATGTGCACACGCACGCGCACACACACACACACACACATATCTTTAATATCCCAACATCTATAATCATGCCACATTTCCTTTTTGTGAAATCTTTGTGACTTTTAACAACTTACCACAATGTTAATGCACACATACTTTATATTCTGGTACAATATATTACTTTAATCCATCTGTTCGCCAAGTAGCCTGCTATAGGCAAGGAAAGCAAGAACGTAAAAAAGAATAAGCAGATTGGTGGAACCAAAAAGGATACATCTAGTTCACTCTAAAAAGATTAAAAAAAATAGTTTTAGCAAGAGAACAGTACTGTTATTGTTTTGCTATTGTTTTTTCTAAAATTGATTTATATATTGTTTTTGCAAGCATAAGGACTCCAAATGGAGCATTGCTTCAATTTGTAAAAAGATTTTCAATCTAGCAGAAACTCTTACTGGAAAAAATAAATGTGATTTTTTAAAAATAATTTCTTCCTCTGTCATTTCCTGTGACCCAAGAAAGTTCAGCTGGGGGGTTGGGTCTACCCAAAACAGCATGAGAAATGGTAGGGTGATCTGCTGAGGCAAGAAAAAATTGATAAATTGCTGATGGAATGGAGCTCTTCTTTTTACTATTTACAGTAAGTAAAACTTGATTGCTGACTATGTTTTTAAACCCAGAGGGCACAAGTGATTCCTGAAGGCATATTATCCTGTTCGCTGTCTTAACAACTGCAGCTGATTTTTGAGGGTAACTGGATAAAGAGGGAGAAGATGGATGCAAGAGGAAAACCAACTTCTAAAAGGAAAAGTGAATGGGACTTAAGGAAATGGTGAGATTTACTCCCATGTTCTGCTTTGACCACTTTCATTTTCTACTTGCCTGATATGTGGACATTACACAAGACCAAACATAGCTATTCTCTGAACAAAATAGCTTTGTGCTTCTGCCACGGTATAGGAAAGCACTCAAAAGTTGATGTTTTTTTAAGTTATATTTTTGTTAATGTGTTCTGCAGCGGTGAACTGCTAAAAACAACAATGGCATTACTTTTTGCACATGTGTCTGTATGTCAGAGATCATGATATATGTGCATGTCTTCATGTCAAATATCATGAGGCATATACAAATAATTCCTCTTTGCATACATAAATGATAAAGTCAGTAGCCATATAAGGAAGTACCTTGAATTTGAAAATCTGCATACCTCATTCCAAAAATCTTCCCCTACTATTAGCTACTTTGTGATTACAAAACATTCAGCAGATGTTTTAACAAGAGAACATCCAGAATGTATTCTCTTATTTAAAATACTACAATAGCATTAGCAATAGCAATTCATAGGAATTGATTTTGCCTCCCAGTTTGTTAAAATCAGGAAGGTTAATAAGTTGGATAGACTATATTTTACATAGTCTATTTGAATAGCATATCCAATATATGACTTGTGATTTCTGAATCAAAACTGTATTTAAAAGATCTATCAACAGTTTAGAGAGATTTTGGTGTGTGGGAACAGAACCCAAGTCTTTCCTCTCAGGTCATCATTAAACCTGATACTGTTAGTTAATTAGCACATATATACATAGAAATGTTAATATGGACAAGCCACCACTAACTTTAATAATCTCATAGCATTATTACTTTGATTACTTAAAGCATTTTGGTATAGGGTATATGTGAGATATTTACACATGCACAAACTGCCTTATGCACAAAGAGCATTCTTCAAAAGTGAATCATGGAAAAATCTTGCTTGGATGGCACTTGAGGCACATGTCCTGCACAGCTGATAGAACATACTCATGATCTAATGATGAAGGCAGAACAGCCAAATGATATGTGCAGAAGGAAAAAACCGCACTATGCATAGCCTATAAATTCTATATTCATGACTGTCCCTTATGTTTCACTGGAATTATGCCCTATACAGGGGATTCAGATGGACTATTCACAGTATGTACAGGAAGTATAGGTAAATTTGCCAAATTCATACTTACCACTCTGCTGAAATATTTGTCCAAAACCTCAACAAAATTATGAATCAGTTCAAATACAGCCATTTCATTCTGAAATTAAGTTCAAAATGCATTTTAAAAAAGAACAACAGACGGGTGTGCTAATAAATTTTCATTTTTTTTAATAATAGCTTATAACTATTAACATATTAAAAAGCGTCAGAGAAGCAAACGTTGAAATTAGTATCCTTAGTCCTAGAGTGGGGAAGGGCCTGTAGTTCTTAATCATTTCCTGTGACCTTCTGCCTTGTTTGGGTACTATGGACCCATTGTTGCTTTTCAGACCAGCCCTTTGAGAAGAATTTTTCTGTTTGATATACTACAGCAATTATATATGAGAAGCTTTGCCCATCTTTGATACTGGCTGGGTATCAACTACACCTCCTGAATGAGATGCCCTATGGGTCAAAGGAAGAGAGTGCCCCAATTCTCCCTTAGATTCTACATCTGGGGCACCAGCAAAAGAAAGTTAAAAAAGATATACTGTACACGTGGAACACCAGGCTACAACATTGCACTGAATTTCACAGCAGGAAACACTGTGAGCAAATTGATTACAGCCTATACATTAATACTGACACTAATGTTTTAGTTCAGGATTCCTGTTTGTAGCCTTGGGTTTTTCTCAAAGGTTTTCCTTATTACAAATATATTTTATTTTACTCAAGATTGATCAATACATCTTTATAAAGTAATAGGACAACACATTTCAGATTCAGGTACAGTAGAAACAGTGTCTGGGAGGGAAGAAGTAGACTATTTTCAAGCGGTTTTGAAGATACAGAATAAATACATCCTGAAATTAGAAATACAATGCGCAAATTGATCTGCTAACAGAAATGAGAGCCAATCAAACCAATAAATGCTGATATGATGAGGCTGATACAACTCTCAGCAGCTAGCTTATGTGTCATATGAATTCATGGTATTCCATTTAGATATCTAGCTAAATCTATCACTATTGCTTACAAAAGCTCATGCCAGCCTTTTCATCTTTAATGTACCACAGGGTTTTTAATTTGTTCCAAGGGACTAGCATTACTATCCTGCCCAAATGTTTCTTGTAGCTTGCAATAGTCCATTACTCTTTTTTTCAGCCTTCAGGTTTAAATAACAATGCTAAAAATTTGGGCTTGTTGTCTCCAGTTTTGATCCTAGGATAAGATAGAGAAAAGAAAGCACGAGAAATGGGACACAGAATATCTTGTACTGCACCTAGAATCTAAGGTCCATATCACATAAAGTACTAAAAAATACAACTTTCATTGTGATGAAAGGCTCTTACCGTTCTGAAGCAAATGTGCAATTTCCTTTATGTCTGGCTTGGACAACCCACTGGCTACCCCATTTTTCTCTCTCCCCACTGCATCACTGCATTTTGCAGCAAAATACAAAAAACTGGCTGGGGGCAGGCTCTAAACCATGGAAAATAAGTATATTAAATCACTACAGGGGTTGCCACCTTTGAAACCCACACCTCTCACCAAATACATTAAAAAGGCCAAAATATTTCTACTTCACCCCTCTGGTGATGTCATAGCATTGCTACCGCACGCTTGCGTTCCTTGGGGGCCAGCCCAAAAAAACTGCCTGCCCAGCATTACACAGCGATCATCAGAAGATGAGGTATTAGATGACGTATGAAAATCAGGACAAAGAAGTATCAACAAGTACCTTTTGATATAAAAAGTGTCTTCAGAAAATACCTGTGTCTAACTTTACACACGTAAGAAAGTTAAAACGTACCTCTGTTTCATTGATTCCAACTACTATGAAAAGAGCAGCATATTGTCTATAGACCAACTTAAAATCTTTGTACTCAAGAAAGGAGCACTAAAGGGAAACAGAAAGTAAAAGATCTAAGTTGATATAAAATACCCAGATTTGTAGATATGTATTAGCTTACTAAATAATTGGTCTGATTTTCTATTTCATCACAAGAATATATAATTTATGACTGTTGGATTTCCCAGCATGCTAATACAAAATCAGATGAACTACATAATGATTCAATGTGATGTGTGAACTCAATCAGTGTCTTAGAGTAAAATCATATATTATAGGCCAGACCTTGTATTGGAACTTGGCTATACAAAAATGCTGAAAAAAGAGTGTAATGAAGTGCAGTAAGGCTGTTGGATTGTTCCCCTCCTGCATATGTCAGTAAAAAATAAATTCTTTACATAAATATGAACAAAACATTGATAGCTACCCCATCACATTTAAACTTTAACAGGACCATGCCCAGCTGGCATAGTAAAGATTTAGTTGTCCAGGGTAAGAAGGCATCCTGGAACTTCATTCATCAGTACTAGGAAAAGATCCAAAATACTAAGTTGTGATGCCTCCTGGACACCTGGTCTTTGGCATGTTCCAGGACCTAAAAAGTAAAATATTTCTAGCTGAAGTAATCTAGCTATGCTTTCAAGAGCCAAGGTTCCAACAGGGAGAAAAATCAAGGACATCTATAATTGGTTTTTGGCAGAAAGACAACAGATGATTTTTCTTAAGCTTAATTAAATAATAAAATAATTAAAACTCCAAAAAAATCCCAATTTCTGAATAATTGAATAATACTTATTTTTCATTCATGTCTAAATAAACATCTATGTCATTCATATTTTGTGCATAACACTAAGCCATAAAGTAGTTTGTTTGAGGATTACCATAATGCATAAATTCATCAGTTGCGTTTTATCAAACATAGGTCTTCCTTGAGGTCCTTTTGCATATTGTTATAGTTTAGCACTGTGTAAACTACGTGTTGGAGAACTTTTCCTTAAATTGTTGATTTATGGATATCAAGGTTAATACAGGGCAGAAAAGGAAAGATGGGCATGTTGGCTTACTGGTTGAGCACACGCAGCATCAGGAACGCCCTGAAAATTTTCTATGTGCTTCTTTGTATATTGTAATAACCTTTCTTTCAGGGCTGTATGAGATAGACCTTGTATCAAGAACATATGGAATCCCTGTTGACTGTGTCCCTAAATCAGGTGAATTCTTTGATACTTAAGTTATAGTGTGTCCCCTGAGTGCCTCTGAGTTTCCCTAGCACTAAGCTTTCACCAAGCCCTTTTCCAGTTGTACTCACTCATTTTCTTCTTACACTTAGTATCCAATTTCTGTGCATTGTTTCTTGCTCTAGCTCAGCAACTGCCTTCCTTCCCTATCATTTGTGGTCATCTTACCCCAAGTTGGATTCTTGCTGCAATCCCAAGCACTGTTTCTATGAGAGAATTGGGACTTTAGATTAGGGATTTTAGAACAGTGAAACTCCAGTCTTACGTTCCCTCTACTCACTTTAAATTTTCTATTAATTTGGCAATTGTAATTATGTATTTCTTTAGGCCATTATAAATGTTTGCCCCACTTTTTGAGATCAATTTGATCACACACACCCCTTTAAAAAAACATAGTGGGAAAATTATCCTTATTGGGAATAATCAGACTAAGTACTGTCATACTAGACTGTGCCAGAGAAATTTGATCCAGTGGGATCCTCAGAAACACTCTTCAACTCCACTGAAGCCAGAGGAGGATACTAAATGTAGCCATATGCTCTTCCATAGTTTCCATGAGTAGTGGATTGATGGGAAATTCATGCACAAGAAGCTTATCATCCAAATCCAGAAAGAAAATCTGCAACAATTCCTCTTACTCCAACCTTATTTCTGGCTTACTGTTATGGGTACACCAAACTCACTATAGTTTGTTCAACAAACCATAGTTAAAACAAGTGAAACCAATTATTGTTTTACCATGTGGGAGTGAACTTTCAAGTTGGGGAGTAAAGGTTTCGAACTCCAGACTGAATGGCTACCCCCTTGACTTAGTGACTATGACCAATATAAAACAATATGTGTAATTTAAAGAAGGTTGCCCAGCCAGGCTTTAATATCGGGGTGAGGGGGTGGGGAGGAAAGCATGCATGTGGAAAAAGAAAGGGAGTATAAAGCAGCAATTAGGTTGAAAACTCAACATTCTTTACATGCAAACCTCTTTTGCACTTTTAATCACAATCCTAGATACCCGTTTTCCTATTGTACATGACCGGAGCTGACCTACTATGCTTTGGCTCAAACTGACTGTAGGTATCCATCTTGATCATGTACGTTTATTGTATTTCTATTAGCTTGTTATTGAATGGTTTCTGTTTTTCCTAACTGTGGTGGTTTACAAATTTTGTATGCATAATAAAGCCAACCAGCCATACGTCTGCCTGAATTACTTGAGTTGGGCCTTCAGATGTCTGATCAAGAAAATGAAAAATATACAAAAATTGTGACACCATAAAAACTACCTAACAGTTTATAACATTTTGGGAACTCTAGTCCATTTCATCAGATGCATGAAATATTATAGTTACAATTAAGCAAGTTTGTTCATAATCCATGTGTTAATCTTTAAGAAGCTAAAATATATCCATTTTGTTTTGCTACAACAGAATAACATGATGGTTACGTTTTTGGAAAACAGGACAAAAGACATACTTGCTCCTTTGAACGAGAAAGGCACTGCTTGATTACTTCAGCTTCCAGAACTGTCCGCTTATGAAGGTCCATGTATTCATAATAACGAGAGAGCCTTGTTTGGCCTTGTTTGTTCACCATCAGAAAAAATTTGATCATGGCTTGTGCTCTGGTCTAAATATCTTCACAAGGTAAAGTGCTTGAAACAGAAGAGAAACCAGGAATTCAGATTTACCAGCACTGTCAGAAATAAACTGCTTCACATTAAGAATGAACAATGAATTTGGAACAAAATTTTGCAGCCAGCAATATAAGGTCCAAGTGATGAGGCTGCAGAGGCTGCACAAGGTACTCCAAGCTAATAGATGACATGTGAAGGCTTAGAAAAGCTGGAGCTTTAGATAAGCCAAGCTCAAATAACATTGTCTCTTAAATGCATTGCTAGCAAATTAATTATAACAAATATTTTCCAACCTGGAACCTTTCCCCTTCTGTGGATTTCCAACAAAGAGATATGGCTAGCAAGCTCATGGGAAGAAACTGCATCATCAATGTTGCTATTTAAGAATAATATTCTGCAGAAAATTGAAAGACTAGAAATAAGAATTATGGGAAATTCTCCCCCTTTTCCTTAATCTGCTCTCAACAGACAGTTCTCTGACAGCTGAAGATGTTCAAAAGAGGGAAGAGGCATTCTTACTCTGAAAATATCTGAGCGGTATTTTATAAAGGAACCGAGTATGTGAATATATAAAAAGCTATTTTTGTAATATACTCTCACTGATTTTAGATATATTCTTCATCTTTTCGTACTCCAAGCATGAAGACTAGAAAAGACAGATCTTGCTTGGAACCTATCATAATCTCCTAAGGCACTGTTATTTCTGTAGAATCTAATTATCTAAATGCTTTAGCTATCACTCAGTGATGAAGCTCAGTGGGAAAAATACTATCAGTATAACTGACTGCACAGGTGGTTGCAAGAATAAAAAGAAATGACCACACATATTATTTGTTAGTAGAAGATGCTTGTATTTAATAGCCCTTTCTTGAACATAAGTGGCAAAGGGAGGCAATTGTTGACAACTCTATAGCATCTTCCCAGATTTTTAATTTGTCCTCTGAATTCAGCAATGAACAAATCCAAATTCAGTTCCATGGCTATCACCACTCCAATGCCACGGGTGATGAAAAAGGGGCAAAACTGAGCCAAGGCACGAATAGGTCATATGAGGCTCTGGATCCATGGAATATAAAGTCCTACCAGCTTTCAATCACATTACTGACATGGAGGAAATTTAGACCAACTCTAGAAATGACCTGAAAATCTCTCAGTGCTTTCAATGCCACTTTTATCCAATTCCCACCTTGGAGAAAAGGAACAAACATGCTTTCCTAGTTCTAATCTAGTGGGAGCCTTATCTGTTGGAGTCATCATCCCAGTCTCAGGCTGAATGTGAGAGAAGGATGAGACAGGACCAAGTTTCTGACTGAATTGGAATTAATGGTCAGGAGCGTGCAGAATATGAGTCAGGACCCTTACCAAAAGAAAAAAGAAAAAAAAGAAAAAATATATTGCATAAATCAATTAACACACATATTACTGAAAAGTAAATACATAAAACTAAGACAAAAACAGCTTCACAATATAAAAATCAGCAACAACAATAATGGCACCACTAAATGCCACAGAAATACAGCATGCAAGCCAAAATAGTAAACAGCAATAAAATAAATAGTACAGTCCTAAAAATACTAGCACATTAATTTAAAAGCCAGGCTGAGATAAGAGAAAAATACAAGTCATTTCTCTCTAATGATTCCTCAAATGGGGTGACACAACTGAGAATGTATTTTTTCTTGTGGCTATCCATTTTGATTCCTTTGGCAGGGGTATCTGGAGAAGGACTTCAAAGGATGACTTTTTGCAGTTACAGGGAGATATGGCTTATCCAGCTTGATTTTATAACTTCAATTTTGTCCTGGAAAATCGGTTAAGCAAGGGTTAAAGATCAGCCAGGGAATAAGAGGTATTGTTTACACTGCTGACCACAACCTAAGTAATTTTATCATGAGCAATCTCTGGTATGTAAGGAATGAACACTCCAGAACTCAGACTCTCTGACTTGTAGAGTCCTATTCTAATCTACTCAATATAGAGAGACATTTGAATCAGCCAATGCAGAGCACTGCTATGAAAAAAAAACACTGTATTAATCAGCAGCTATAAACAGCCATTATGGATAGTTAATAAGGACCATCAGGTCACCCCATGATGACTCTATGGACAAATCCTTACCATCTTGACTCATTTTAGTTATAACAGCAGCTCTTCAAATGGCATTCCAGTAATTCCTTTGATCCCATTGATCCACCTTATGCATTGCCTTCTCTTTTCCTTTCCTTAAGCTAGAACCTTACACCTTAAACCAGTGTTTCTCAACCTTGGCAACTTTAAGCTTAAACAGCCCCTCTACTCTTCTGCACTTAGAATTCTTGGACTGTATTTGTACATACTACCCCATAAATCATGATTTACAAACCATAATATGCTAAATCATATTATGATTTCCTTGACTTTGGCTTAGTAATTGTGGTTTGAAAATCATCTATCTATCTATCTATCTATCTATCTATCTATCTATCTATCTATCTATCTATCTAACTTATAT